CCTTCAGTTCTAGTTCCTTCTGCCTCTGCAGCAGATTTACATTGTCCCTTCTGAGAACTTCTTTCTCTTCAGACAGCTTCTGATCTGGTCTTACTTGTGCCAAGCTGCTATCTGGCACTGAGGTAGAAACTAGCATTTTTTCCCTTTAAAAAATGAATTAAGAGGAATTAATTTTAAAAAAACCCAACAAAACACAATGTGCATTCTTTCAGGCTATTGTAATTTCAGTAATGACTACAGAACTATAGAAAGACTATAGAAGCACCTACACAATCATGCTTTACTTTTTCAAAATTTGTATCCCTCTCCATGACAGTCTTTACAAAGACTGTTACACAACACCGAGGAAAAAAATACATCATTTGAAGACAACCTTTTACATGTTTTCACAGTCACTAATGCAAAAGTCTTTCCCATCCAAAAAACATCTTATGATATCACACTGCAGACCCAGAAAAGCCAAGATCCCTTGTAATTCAAAACTTCTATCTACTAAATAAGCCAAAGCACTTTAAGGTTAGCGTTTTGGATCTATACCCTAGAAGTTATTTTTATAACGAAGGAGAGTGATGTGAAGCCATCTGCCTCAAAGTACTGTGACAGTACTGTACAGTGCCAAAGCTCCACTACACCCCACATCAACTTCATCCTCACCTGCATGGCTTTGGTTACATCCTAGCTTCTTTCTCAATTTCCTTCACAGGCATACCACCTCAAAAATGCCTGGGATGTGCAAAAAGTTAGAGGACGCCAGAACATACAGAAATGGAATAAAGAATCTGGCTGCTGGCTACTCAGACCAGTCAGGATAGCTTTCTACACAAAAGTACCTCAACACTGCATGCCACCAAAAAAAAAAAAACAAAAAAAAAAAACCCACAAACAAAAAAACCCCACACCAAAACAAACCCACCAAACAAACAAAAAAACAGGGCAGATCAGAGTATCAAAATAATTCAGGATGAGGCAATTTACTATAAATTTAGACATTCTTGAAGAGCACTTCATTTCATACTAGTATTTGTTAACAGCATAGACTTGCCTAAATGATCTAACTGTAAACCAGATTTTGATACCGTGCCGGTATGTGGAAGGGCATGCCCTCAGGTGATTCATTAAAATGTTCGAGAAGCTCAAATTATGCAACATTAGCAAATTCTAAACAAGTTTTTTTGGAGAACATTACTTCTTACACCATCTCAACTTTCTGAATGCCAAGTACCATCTTTCCCACCCACAAACATTTTTCTCAGCAGCCTGTTGCCATGGCAATCCCAGCAACTGTAGGACAAGTCTCTTTAAAAAGATTTCTGACAACAACTGTAACTGCCAACTCACCACCACCTCTTGTCAATGTAATTACAAGTTGCAGAGACACCATTATCCCCTAAACCTTACTTCAAACTGTGATTGCTGGCTTTATTTCTTATAAGCACACATTGTTACATTCCTACACAAATATATCACCAAAATATGTTTGTCCTGCTAGGTTAGTGTACTTCTACATTCCATGTTTGTGCCCAGTGAGTTTTTAATAGAGGTAAATAAATAGGTGCTAGCTACAACAAGTCTGAAGGACAAGCCTATGGAAATTACGCAGATGCTGAAACGAACATCATTGCATTGCCTATCACTGCAAAATGTCCTAAAAGCCTGATGTCCTGCAACCTTTGCTTTCAACTGAGCTTTCCAGTATCTTCTCTGCTTATTAGTTGCTACCCCTTCCTTCTTTTTCAAAATCTTGCATTAAGATCCATAAGAACAGTCTGTCTCTGGAAATCAAGCGAGGAAGAACAAGCTATCCAACCAGCAACACCACTAATGAACAGTTTTATACAGATTAATGTGCTAATTTCCACCACCACAGCATGCACACACCCAGACTCACATATACTTCCCTTCCACTTAGTACCAGTATTACTTGATGCTGGAAAGACAGAAATTGAACTTTGTATTTTAGATACACACTTCCCCTTCCATCTTCTCATATACCCACATCCCAGCAACTAAGCTAATCAGATTGCTCATACGAAGTTTTCTATGACATCCTACTGCCTTACTTTGGGGCAAACATACGGTTCCCAGCAAAATTCTGATTGCTTGCACTGGCAGCTACTTGGTCAAAGTGCCCTCCTGGGATGCTGTACAGCGCGTGATCAGACCTGTTTACCCACAATGGAACTGAAACATTTATCTTCCGATGTTGGTTTTGCATGACATCTACTTTTCTCTCTTCTACAACTTCAGTGTTTCCTGGAGATGTGCATTTTTCAGCAAACCCTGCCTTGGCCACCTCTTCTCCAATATCTGTTTTTTCATATTCTGCCTGGGCAATAACGGTACCATCTTTGTGCTTGGCTTTGTGACGTATTTTTATTTCTTTTTCAAAGACTAGGCTGCTCAAGAACTTCTTTCCCTGTAAAATAAAAATAAAATGAAGTTGTATACTGGACACTGAATACTTTTAGCTGAAATCAGCCATCTTTCTCCTAAGAAAGAGAGGACATTTTTAAGACCAAAACCCAAAGAGCTGCAGAGGTAAAGCTTATGTTTAACACATCTATTCTGAAACAATGCTGTACCTATACAACTACAACTGTACCTGATCTAATCACTGTCAATGCCAGACTGGACTTCAACACCAGTAGTTCTCCCTCAATGTTCAGCTTTGAAGAATTCAGTATCATTTGTAAGTGAGAGAAGTCCAAAGTCCCATCAACTCTCAAAAGAAGTTGGCAACTATGTTATCCAAGTCTTTCAGAGGATACTAGACCAATTATTTAACACTATTATACAAAATAAAATAAAAAAGAAAATTCATTATTGAAAGGTTGTTAAACAATGTAGTAAGTGGTCTGGAAGTTGAAACAGAACATAGCAACGAATGAATTATTATGAGTATCTACCTCATGGAAATGTACCTTACTGAAACTACTCATTTGGAAATCAGGAAATGCCAGAATTGAGAGCTATCAGTTTCATCAGTAATATCAAAGAAAAACAGCTTTGAAAGACTGGGGCACACACTCAAGACCTTCACAAGACAGCTGGGAGAAAGTTATCTTTTATTAACAGGGTTTTTTTCTTTTTGCCCCACCACTTCCGAAAACAAGCTGGTTTTGCTGAAAACTAAGAATGGAAGGGGTGAGGGCAGGAAAGCTACACAGTGTAAGCAAATAAAGCTTTACCTCAAGCAACAGGAACTGTTTTTTTTAAAAAAATAACAAACCACAAACAAAAAACCCCTGGGAAGTGATAACAGAGATTTTCACCTGTCTTAAGTAATCACATTAAGCAATGTCAATAGGAGCACAGGGACAAGACCATATACAAGGGGTCTCAGGATCTCCTCTAAATGATAGAGGGATGCGTCAAGGCAAGCAAGACAGACGCTTCCTGCCTCCTCCTCCGACAACTGCTGCTCCCAAGCCACCGGCTGGTGAAGTAGAGGCAGTGCCAGTGACAAGCCTTGAAGCAGCATGCCATTAAAGAGTGTAAGTGGTGTCCCAGAAAGGGAGATCGCCACTAGTAAAACCCAACCAATGGTCAACAGCGCCACTCAAGAGGGCTCAAAGCTTTTACCAGTCCTGCTGGCATCAGCTCCTGAGCCTTTCATGTTCGTTGCTGGCCAGGGATGACAGAGTTCCTACTACCACTCCAATGCACCTGCTATTCCCTCTCCTGACCAAAAGTCTGTACAGTACCCAGACACACGGCATTCAAGCAGCTCACAGACATAAGTGAATTTATCACAGGTTCTATGACCAAGCGAGGTATTTTTCCCTCTGAAGGGAAAGAAACAGAGGCACTTTGTGTCCTCGGCACCAGAAGGTCTTGGGTCAGTCAGAAGTAGATCGAAGGCTCTGAAGATGGCAAAAGCGTCCTCTAAAAATCACCTCCCAGCACAACCTGAACCGTTTTTGACAAAACCATTTTAGTTTCTAGAGCACGTTCAGGGCAATAGATCAGACAATCCCTCCCAGCACGCCCTGCCTTCACAGTTAAACATCCAGCTCTTTGAAGACTCCTCCTGGTGACACTGTGCTGATATTTAGCAGCATCTGTTACAGATCCCATCATCTAAATGCTTCAAAATCTGTTACTTACCTGGTCAAACATGTTTAAGTTCTGATCAGTTGGTATCTGCAGTCCCCAGAGTCTGTACTTCTTGGCAACACTTGGACATTGCAAGTTTGGTGGAATTTCAACGATGTCTGATCTACTCAGAACCTCAGAATTTCCATAGTCAATGTACAATACCTGACACTGCAACAATAATATAAAATACAAATCAGCAGAGGTTACACAAACCTCCTACAGAAATTAACATTGACAACTAGTAGAATATAACCATTTTAACACATGTGCATATTGCAGAGATCAGAATCTTCCATACTAAGCCTAGACACCCTTCAGAGGAAGGAACTGAGTTAAGACAACTATCTTATGTTGGCACCTGTCTAAAAGCTTAGCAACAAAACTTGAAGTAACAAAACAGATCTTTGCTGGCAATCTTTTGTTTTCTCGAATGGCTACAATTAAGAAGTAAAAATCTTTCTTCATTGGGCAGATATGCAATCTAATGTTTCCATGACAACCAGCCTGTCTAGAAATTGTAATTTTGAATAGGAACTACCAGCCTTCTGTATCAGTCACTTAATGCTGATTAACAACTCTTTCAGGTCATTTGCATCAGTGCTAACATGTCACACGAAAGCTGCCATTTTCACCACTCAGAAGTTTTGAAATTAAATTACATTGCTTAACAACATTAACTACCACTCATGAGTCTCTTCATAAAGAGATACAAACAGCACTTTGCAAGTATGTCATGTTTTGCCAGTCTTTCCATCAGCAGTTTTCAAAATTACAGGTCACTTGAATTTGTGTCCTACGTGTATATTCAATGTTTTTAAATGCATTCACACAGCAAGTTTCAAAAAGAGGAGTTGCGTTTATTCCTATCATCCTGCATGTAGCACTGATACACAATTAATTAGAGAATTAATCAGAGAAACGGTTCCTGCCTTTTCATTGCTGATCACTTGCTGTACCTTACATCTATACCAACATCCATCTTCAGAAAAACAGCCACCATAAATCTGGAAATTAGGAAAAAAAGATCAAGAATAGCATTCTGAAAATATAAGCATACCTCAAAATGGTATTTCTAATACATTATAAATCTTATTTTCACGCTCTCCTATAATTATCTCAACAGCAGTATGAAAAAAAAGTAACGTATTTGATATCCTATCTCTCATAACGATATATGCTAATGCTTCAAAAACACAATCCTCTACTCCAAAAACAAGAGCTCCAAGAAAATTTTGCAACTAGAAAAACGTCAGCATTTTACACAACAGACTCTCATGGCTTTTCCGTTAATGTGTTGCTACAAGATTTTATTGACACTGATGGCTTAGTAAGCCCAACAAAGGAACAGGCCAGTCACACCACAAACATGCTGGGCTTGCTGTTGGTGCATTTTCTTCCTTTTCAATAGGAATGTAGGTCATTTACCTGCACACACAAACAGTTCAGACAAATCTTTTTATTTAAACCTCACTTTGCAATAAGCCATCAATAATTCACACACAAAAACAAAAGTTGCCATCACTCTCTGTATGTTTTTCATAGAACTGCTATTAAATACGCCCTTGTTATCTTCTTAAGAGTACTTTGTCCAGCACATTTAACATTACAGGTTTTTGTAAGATCTTCCGCACTTCTTGAGATGGAGCAAAGAATCATTTCTCTGAAAAAGCATTGCTCTCTTGTTAAAGATAACCCATAATGCATACTGGACAAAGAAAGAGAATTCAGCGTGCTGTGTATTACCTTCTTGTAGTATTTCCTGAGTGTTAAAAAAACCCTATGGTTGTGTAATTTAACTGAAGTCTGAAGTGCAGAAAGTTTTAAACTTGCTTATACAAAATAAGCATTTTCTTTACGAAAGCCAGCAGTGAGAACATAACCCACAGCATAATCAAAGATCAGAAAATACCTAAGAAAATGGTTGTGTGGAATTAAGGCTTCTACATCCAGGTGAAAAACAAAACGCCACATGTACACAACCTACATACCTTACTAAAATCAGGTTTGCCAAAAACTGCGTTAGCCCGAGGACAAGCTTCTGCCAGCGCACAACTTAATTTCAAGAGGTCATTACATCTACTGACGTTCTAAGAAGTGTGGAGAGAGGGTACAAGTTATTAACTGTCACTTTTAATAGATGCTTGATGGCTTATAACAGCCCAAAATTAAATCAAAACAGTTGCACTGCTGTTGAGATGAGTAATGCCCCACCTTAAGCTTCCAATCTTCATGATTTTAGTTGCATTTGTAAGCCTGCTCTCATTTTCTTCCAAAAATTAACAAAATGGATCAGGGGCAGGTAATGTACTCCAGAGAAATAGTTTGCAACGAACATTTTTAACAGTTTAATTACCAGCTTCTGCGAGCAGTATGCAGATCTTACTTATCAATCCTTCGTTACAAATTTGAGTATGTATTTGGTCGTCTGTTTCTTTCCCTCCTTAATACAAGGAGAAAACAGCTGTGGCACACCCCTTGTTCTCTTTCCATGCAAGACTTGGGTTTTGGTTTGGCTGAGAGCAGCAGAGTCTTTCCAGTTACAATTTGGTATCTGAACCACTGTAAACCTGGGTCAATTCCAGTAACATGGCATTTATTAGATGACATGCTACTCATTCAAAGGAAAGGATCCAGAGCTCAGAGCAGGAAAGAAAACACTCGCGCAACTAAACATTTTGTTAACCTTAGAAGTACAGGCCTAACTTTTGTACCTTACAGTATCAAAAACCACTGTGACCAAGTCTCCAAATGCCAGGGTAAGAACCTAAAGGACAATTACCTATGACTACTACATCTAAAAATCCCTTTATTAAAAGAAGCTATTCTATAAACAGAATGAGTAAAGTTTGGTCCCCCTCCCCAAATTCCTATTACAGACACAACAAGCAGCATCACCTTCTCCAACTGGCTCCAAGCTACACAGGTGTTGACTAATATGTACCTACCAATTAGCCAGCAGACCTAATAGAAAAGGCAAGCTTTAGCACTCCTTCAGGATTTTCCCCTCTCCCTGCTGCACCCCCTACATTAATGAAAACTCCTCATTGTTTTGGGTTTTTTTTTACTTTTCCTCAACTCCCCCCATCCAACATCCTCCTGCCCATCTACACAAAACTTGAAAGGACCTAGCATCTTTGAACCACCTCTACATCAAGCTTCACTGGACTGCCCCACACGCTCAGCTGTTAGAGGGCAGGGGATCCACCCTCAGCAGGGCTCCAACTGCCTCCTACAGTATTCTTCAGTCAACAGCAAATATTTTAACCCTCAATTTATTTATTTTTTTGGCATAGGGTCTACCAAATAGTCAAGAAAACCCAGCTACAATTCAAACAGATGGATGAACAATTCTTTTTGACATTTCAGAAAAGAATAGCTGATTTCACTTTAAAAGGGCGCAATAATACTTACAATTCTGAAATCTAAAGTACCTCTTTTTTTTCCAACATCAAATGCTATCATTTATTCTCACTTCTATAGAGGCTTGCTGGGGAGGAGAAGATAAGATTAAACACTCAGTTAAAATCAAATAGTTCTCTGAATTCACCTGTGCCCAAAATGTTACAGCATCTTCAATGTGGCAGCCCACAACGTCTTCAACTTGAGGGGAAAGAAAAAAAAAAAAAAATTACTCTCAAGTGTCAGATTATGTGTGTGTTTGTTTTAAAAACCACCTCACATTACCTTCGTCATACTCTGTGTCTCCATCCATGACAACAGACTCTGAAACGTTACAAGATACCTACAGTGAAAAGAGAAATTCAGGTATTCTTCCAGAGGCCCGTGGCGAGGCGAGGCACACGCACCCGCCCCGCAGGCCCGGGCCAATGTCCGGGCCCTGAACGCTTCACGGGTTCACTGCTTCGTGGGCTCCTGCTCTCCCATCGCCTAGCCCCGT